ACTGGGTGATGCTGCAGGTCCTTTCCAACCTCGTGATTCTATGATTCTATGATTCTATAACCCACTGCCACCCCACGTTACCGCTCGCATCTCCCAGCTTCACTTATCTCCACGCCTGAGGTCCCCTCCTCCTGTCTGACTGCTGGAGGGCGGATCATCACCCCCTGTCTGCACCCCTCCCTCTGTTATCTGCAGCACTCAGCCCTTCAGATGCTCTGCTCCGTTTCCTGTCCCATTGTTTGCACTCCCTGGGTCCGCCTTTTCACCCCGAAACCAAACGGCTTCCTTCCTCCCACCCGTGTCAGAGCTTCCTCATTGCTGGGGCAGGCGGATGGGACGGCTGCATCGCTGCCCCCAGCTCCACAGAGCTGCTTTGCTGCGGGGTTTGGCTGCGATTCAGACCCTCTAAGAACGATCCCTCGTTGTGAGACTCCGCTGCAAAGCTGATCCGCTCCAGCTCTCTTCTACAGCTTCTGCCCTCATATTCTCCACAAACCTTTTCCCCATACTCTTTCCAAGTCCTCTAACCCATCTCACCCATTAAATCCTTCTCCATCTTCTTCCTCTCTCTCCTTTCCCCAACTCCTTCCCTCCTCCTCTTCTCCAGCACAGATGCACTCCATATTGGGCTGCAACCACCCCACTTTCGCCCTCCCCTGGAGGACCCTCCTGCCTTCTCTTGTGGCTCTGCACCTCCTGCACCTGGGATCAGGTAGGGGTCCTGTGGGGCTGCTGTGCCTGGCAGAGGTGTTGCTGTGGGGTGGGGGAGCGGCCATGAGGCATAGAGGACCCAAGCCCAGCACACAGACACACTTGGCTTTCACTTTCACTTTGGGTGTATCATGAAATGCACCATTTGGGGTAGAATTTCTGTCTCCACCTCCACCACACGTTGTCAGTGGGCTCCCACCCACACAAATCCTTCCCCACCCCCTCCTGCTCCCTCTCCAGTGCTTTTACATGGCATGGAGCACACACCAACTCACCCTGTGCCGCTCCATGCCCCCACATTCATACAGCCACCATCTCACTGTCTCTCTGGACCTAATCATTGCACAGCCCAGCTCAGGGTGGTGGCACCGAGCCGAGTTGTCACTGCCATCGTGGGACAGGACGTTGTGCTGCGCTGCCACTTGTCCCCGTGCAAGGATGCTTGGAGCTGGGACATCAGATGGATCCAGCACCGGTCCTCTGGCCTTGTGCACCACTACCAAAATGGAGTGGACCTGGAGCAGATGGCGGAATATAAAGGGAGGACAGAACTGCTCAGGAATGGTCTCTCTGATGGAAACCTGGATCTGCGCATCACAGCTGTGAAATCCTCTGATAGTGGCTTGTACAGCTGTGCTGTGCAAGATGGTGATAATTATGCAGAAGCCGTGGTGGACCTGGAGGTGTCAGGTCAGTGGCTGGGGTGACGCCTCCAGGTGTCGCTGGGTTTGTGTCTCCCACCCCCACCTCTGTCCATCCTCATCCTCACATCCATGCATGGAGAGCTGAATGACAGCAGCCTTTGGAAGAGGTCGGGGCTGAACTGCTCCATGAGATGCACGAGTTGGAGCAGGCGCATGGTGTGATTTGGGGATGGATCTGCATGGATCAGGTGGTCGGGTTTCTGGGATGGGTTTCTGGGATGGGTTTCTTCATGTCTCAGTGGCAGTGGACACAGGATGCTCAGCAGCTCCTCCACCTGTGCCAAGCTGGGCACGCTGCCATTGTGTGTCACTGCTCCCTGCTTGCTGCCCCTTCTGGTTTTGTGATTTCAAGAAGTCCGAGTTTCGCTTTTCCCACATATAGCAATGGAAAAGGAACCTTTGTCCTGATGCTTTTTCAGATCCCTTTTCTCAAATCGTCCATCCCTGGAAGGTGGCTCTGGCTGTGGTCATCACACTTCTGGTTGGGTCATTTGCTGTCATCGTTTTTCTCTATAGAAAGCAAGGTGAGCTGAGAGTGGAGGGGATGGAGCACAGGGAGCAGTTGTGCAGGGACAGGGGTGGTCACAGGGGTGGTCACAGGGGTGCTGAGCTCTGCTCCATGGAGGCACACGGGAGGAGGATGGGAGATTTTTCCTGAGATTCCCGGGGGTCACTAAATAACATTTGCCTTTCTTCTTGGAAATGAAGGAAGGAGAAAAAGGAAGGGTGAAAAGATAGGAACGTGGCTGGACCGTGGGGCAGGTGGAAAGGTCCAGACCCTCTGGAGACGTCCCCACAAACCAAGCTATCCTGCTCACCACCTCTTCCTCTGCTTTGTTTTGCAGCGGCACAGAGCAGAGAGCTGAGTGAGTCCTTCCAGCCCCTTCCACCACCAAAGTCCCTTTAATGGAGCTGATAGAAGACTGCAGAGTGCTGGGTTTATGTGATGGGTTGGGACCATGGGATCTCTGGGCTGTGTTGTGGCCTTGGCATGTGCTGGGTTCATGGGATGCAGTTGGGTCGTGGAATGCATCGATCCTGACTGCTCCGCTTGCAAAACTCTTGCCAAATCGCTGTCTTTCTATTTGTTTAATTCCTTCTTGGGACCAAAGAGGTCATTGATCACTTACCAGAACAAAAAGGTTTGGGGTCTGGGCATAGGAACTGCCATGGGATGAGAAGGTGTTCCCTCTGATCATGGATTTCCTTTGCTTCTATTTTGCAGAGAGAAAAAATGCAGTGTTGGGTAAGTCTCCTTCCCCAAAGTGAGGGAATTCACGGTCTCCCCATGGCATCAGCCATGGGATGAGCACCTGTCCCCTCTGACCATGCACTGTTCTTCTCTTACTTTTCCAGCGGAACAAGCTGCGGTATCAGGTGAGTTTATTTCCCCAAATCAAAGTATTTGGGGTCCTCTCATGGGAAGCTGTTTCCTCAGATCCTCCTTTCTATTGTCTTTACTTTGGCCTTCATGTTAGTAAAATTTCTTCTTTGGACCAAAGTGCTCATTGGCCACTTCCCAGAACAAAAAGGTTTCTGGGTAGACATGGCAGCAGCCATGGGATGAGAAGGTGTTCCCTCTGACCATGCATTTCCTTTGCTTCTGTTTTGCAGAGGCAAAAGATGCACTGTTGCGTAAGTTTCCTTCCCCACTCTGAGGGAATTCAGGGTCTCCCAAAGGCATCAGCCATGGGATGAGCAGCTGTCCCCTCTGACCGTGCACTGCTCTGCTCTTTTTTTTCCAGTGGAGAAAGCTGCTATATTGAGTGAGTATTCTTCCCCAAACCAAAGTCCTTTGGGTTCTCCCATGGGAAAACGTTCTCTCAGATCATCCGTTGCCATGTTGTTAGTTTTCTCCTTCGTATTAGTTTAATTCCTAGTTGATACCAATGTTGTCATTGTTTACTTACCCGAATAAAATATTTGAGGTATGGCAGCAGGCTTGGAATGGGAAGGTGTTCCCTCTGACCGTGCATTTCCTTTGCTTCTGTTTTGCAGACAGAAAAGACGACGCCCTGAGTAAGTCCGCTTTCCCACACTGAAGGAAATCAGGGTCTCCCCATGTCATCAGCCGTGGGATGAGCAGCTGTCCCCTCTGACCATGCACTGCTCTGCTCTTTCTTTTCCAGAAAAACTGACTGCGATGTGGGGTGAGTCTCCTTCCAGTTTTTGTTCAAGTTCTCCCACTGCAAAGCTGTGGGATGAGATGTTTCTCTCATCATGCACTGTTTCTGCTTTTCCCTTTCAGATTTAAGTGCTGAAAATCTCAGTAAGTCCCCCTGTCTACACAGAAGGCTTTTGGGGTCTTCCCCTGGGATCAGCCATGGGATGATAAACTGACCCTTTTCATCATGCATTTCTCGGTTGTTTCTTTTGCAGAGGAACGTGCTTCAAAACTGGGTGAGTCCTCCCTCACGAATTAGAAATAAAAAAGGGGCTCTGTTTGTGTGAGCTGTGATATGTTCCTCTCATCATGTGCTGCTTTCCTCTTTCTTTGCCAGTGGAAAGAACTGGAGAATTGGGTGAGTGTCCTTCCCCGAACCAAAGGAATATGGGGTTTCCCATGGGATGACAAGCTGTCCCACCTCATCGTGTGCTGCTTTCCCTTTCTTTCTTTCTTTTTTTTTTTTTTTCTTTTTTGCAGAGATACGGAACTCACAGCTGAGTAAGTTGCAGTCACTAAACTGAGGGAATCTGGGGTCTTTCCAAGCAACTGAGTATGGGAAGAAAAATCCCTTCTGACCATGCTCTGCTTTTCTCTTTCTTTTACAGAGAGACACTTAAGAAAGACGCGTGAGTCTCTGCTCCCAAATTAAAATCTTTGGGGTCTTCCTGTGTGAGCAGGGGGATGAGCTGCTCCTCTCATCATGCCTTGTTTCTGATTTTCCTTGGCAGAACACAGTGCTGTACTACTGAGTAAGTCTCCCTCCTGCACAAAAGGAATTGGGGGGCTTTCCATGGGATCGGCCATGGGATGATCATCTGACCCTTCTCATCATCCATTTCTAATTTCTTTTGCAGGGGAACAGATTGAAGAAGGGGGTGAGTTCTCCCTTCCAAATCAGAAAAGAAATGGGGTCTTCCTATGGGAGCTGTGGGATGAGCTGTTCCTCTCATCACGCACTGTTTTTGCTTTTCCTTTGCAGATTTAAGTGCTGAAAATCTGAGTAAGTCTCCTTACACGGAAGGATTTTGGGGTCTTCCCATGGGATCAACCGTGGGATGATCCCATCATGCATTTCTTATTTGTTTCTTTTTGCAGAGGAACAAGCTACAAAACTGGGTGAGTCTGCCCTCCCAAATTAGAAAAAAAAAAAAAGAGGTTCTGCCTTTGAGAGCTGCGGGATGAAATGTTCCTGTCACCATGCATCGCTTTTCTCTTTCTTCTCCAGTGGAAGAAACTGCAGAATCAGGTGAGTCTTCTTCCCCTAATCAAAGGACAGGGGGTTTCCCATGCGATGACAAGCAGTCCCACCTCATCATGTCCTGCATTTCCTTTGCAGTGGAAGAAATTGAAGAAAAGGGTGAGTCTTTTTCCCCAAACCAAAGGAATATGGGCTTTCCCATGGGACAACAAGCTGTCCCACCTCAGCATCCGTTGCTTTTTCTTTTTTACTTGCAGAGATTCAGAATTCACTGCTGAGTAAGTTGCAGTCACTAAACTGAGGGAATTTGGGCTCTTCCCAAGGGACTGAATGTGGGATGAAAAATCCTCTCTGACCATGCTCTGCTTTTCTCTTTCTATTCCAGAGGAACGCTGTGAACGGATGGGTGAGTCTCCCCTTCCACACATTAAAAAAATGGGGTCTCCCTGTGTGGGCAGTGAGATGAGATGTTCCTCTCATTATGTGTTGTTTTTGCTTTCCTCTGCAGAACTAGATATTGCAGATCTGAGTAAGTCACCCTCCCTTCACAGAAGGAATTTGGGGTATTCCCACGGGATCGGCCACAAGATGATAACCTGACCCTTCTCAACATGTATTTCTTAATTGTTTCTTTTGCAGGGAAACTAGCTGCGAGACTGAGTGAGTCCTCCCACCCAAATTAACCACAAAAAGGCATTCTTCCTTTGTGAGCTGTGGGACGAGATGTTCCTCTCATCACGCGTTGCTTTTCTCTTTCAATTCCAGGTGAACAAGTTGAATAAGTCGGTGAGTCTGATTCCCCAAAACCAAGGAAGATGGGGTTTCCCATGGGATGACAAGCTGTCCCACCTCAGCATGCATTACCTTTCTCTTCCTTTTCCAGCAGTAGAATCTAAAAAATCGGGTGAGTCTTCCCCAGATCAAAGGATTGTGTGGCTTCCCATGGATGACAAGCTGTCCCACCTCAGAATCTGTTGCTTTTTCTTTCTTTTCCAGAAGAAACATCTGAAGAATTGAGCTGAGAGATGAACTGCGCCTCACACTAACCATGGGAGTTGAGCTTCACAGACTGCTGATTGCACAAGAGACCAAAATTGGGATACCTCATAATTGAGCAAGGAAATCCACACTGAATCAAGTGGAGCCAGTGTTTGTTCTGAGTGAGAACACTGCAGTTCTGTGAGCCAAAGCTGCCTCAGCAACCACCAAACTCAGGATGTGTGACCTCCAACTCAAATCCTATTATAAGAAAGAAACCATAGAGAGGAAGGAAGGACACAGAGATCTTGGGAAAGGGATGGACATTTTGGGAAATAACATGACCATGTATCAGGCTTTGTGGGCATCTAATGAATATGTAACGCTTTTGGAAATAGAAGCATGCATGCAGAAGCAAAGGTGGAAAATGGCTTTGGGTGTTAACACTGCTCTTCTCTGTCACAATATAATAAAGCATACCTGCTGATGGTAATCGATCATGGATTGTTATCAGTAATTGGGGGTTTGGTTCCACAGAACAGGCTGAGTCTTCATCCTGGAACCAAAGCAATGCGGGCTCTGGCTATCGGATAACAAGCCGACCCTTCTCACCATGCGTGGTGTTTCCAACTGAACAAGGTGAGCTAAAAAGGAAGAAAAAAATGTAATAGACAAAAGTAAATAATCAAATAAATACACAGAAGGGAGAGAATAAACAACGATACTTCAAAAAAGTCTTCAATGAAACCAGAGAGGTCACAGCCCTCAGAGTGAGGCCACAACAACGTGCTGTCCCGTCGTGATAAGAGAGCTGGGTCAGATCTCCCAGCTTCACTTCTCTCCACGCCTGAAGTCCCCTCCTCCTGTCTGACTGCTGGAGGGCAGATCATCACCCCCTGTCTGCACCCCACCCTGCCCCCCCTCCCTCTCCCTCTGTTATCTGCAGCACTCAGCCCTTCAGATGCACTGCACCCCGTCTGCACTCCTTGGCTCCCCCTTCGTACACATCGGGGGGGGATATCAGCCCTCCTCCTTCCTCCCACCCTTAGCAGAGCTGCTGTGCTGCTGAGGGAGGCGGATGGGACGGCTGCATCGCTGCCCCCAGCTCCACAGAGCTGCTTTGCTGCGGGGTTTGGCTGCGATTCGGACCCTCTAAGAACGATCCCTCATTGTGAGACTCCCCTGCAAAGCTGATCCGCTCCAGCTCTCTTCTCCTACAGCTTCGGCCCTCATGTTCTCCACAAACCTTTTCCCCAGACTCTTTCCAAGTCCTCTAACCCATCTCACTCATTAAATCCTTCTCCATCTTCTTCCTCTCTCTCCTTTCCCCAACTCCTTCCCTCCTCCTCTTCTCCAGCACAGATGCACTCCATATTGGGCTGCAACCACCCCACTTTCGCCCTCCCCTGGAGGACCCTCCTGCCTTATCTCGTGGCTCTGCACCTCCTGCATCTGGGATCAGGTAGGAGTCCTGTGGGGCTGCTGTGCCTGGCAGAGGTGTTGCTGTGGGGTGGGGGAGCGGCCATGGGGCAGGCCAGACCCAAGCCCAGCACCCAGACACACTTGGCTTTCACTTTCACTGCGTTTATTCCATGAAACGTGTGATTTTGGGTAGAATTTCTGTCTCCTCTTCACCTCCACCACACGTTGTCAGTGGGCTCCCACCCACACAAATCCTTCCCCACCCCCTCCTGCTCCCTCTCCAGTGCTTTTACATGGGATGGAGCACACACCAACTCACCCTGTGCCACACATTCATGCAGCCACCATCTCACCATCTCTCCGTGCCCTTCTCACTGTACAGCCCAGTTCAATGTGGTGGCACCGAGCCTCCATGTCACTGCCATCGTGGGACAGGATGTCGTGCTGCGCTGCCAGCTGTCCCCGTGCAAGGATGCTTGGAGATCTGACATCAGATGGATCCAGCAACGGTCCTCTGGTTTTGTGCACCACTACCGAGATGGAGAGGATCTGGAGCAGATGGCGGAATATAAAGGGAGGACAGAACTGCTCAGGAATGGTCTCTCTGATGGAAACCTGGATCTGCGCATCTCTGCTGTGAGATCCTCTGATAGTGGCCCGTACAGCTGTGTTGTGCAAGATGGTGATAACCGTGGAGAAGCTGTGGTAAACCTGGAGGTGTCAGGTCAGTGGCTGGAGTGTCCATGCGTGGAGAGCTGAAGGGCAGCAGCCTTTGGAAGAGGTCGGGGCTGAACTGCTCCATGAGATGCTGGAGTTGCAGTGGGCGCACGGTGTGATTTGGGGATGGATCTGCATGGATGAGGTGGTTGGGTTGGGTTTCTGGGATGGGTTTCTTCATGTCTCAGTGGCAGTGGTCACAGGATGCTCAGCAGCTCCTCCACCTGTGCCAAGCTGGGCACACTGCCATTGTGTGTCACTTCTCCCTGCTTGCTGCCCCTTCTGGTTCTGTGATCTCCCAAGTCTGAGTCTTGATTTTCCACATATGGCAATGGAAAAGGAATCCTTGTCCTGATGTATTTTCCAGATCCTTTTTATCAGATCATCCTTTCCTGGACAGTGGCTCTAGCTGTGGTCATCGCACTTCTGTTTGGGTCACTTGTCATCATTGCTCTTCTCTACAGAAATCAAGGTGAGTTGAGAGCAGAGGGGATGGGGCACAGGGAGGTGTTGTGCAGGGAAGGTATGGTCAGGGTGGTGCTGAGCTCTGCTCCATGGAGGTACACAGGAGGAGGATGGGAGATTTTTCCTGAGATTCTCATATTGATCGTTAAATAACATATGCCTTTTCTGTTTGGGAATGAAGGAAGGGGAAAATGAACGGGTGGGAAGATAGGAATGTTGGCTGGACCGTGGGGCAGGTGGAAAGTTCCAGACCTTCTAGGGACGTCCCCACAAACCAAGCTGCCCTGCTGACCATCTCTTCTTCTGCTTTGTTTTGCAGTGGCACAGAACAGAGAGCTGAGTGAGTCCTTCCAGCCCCTTCCACCACCAAAGTCTCTTTATTGGATCTAACAGAAAACTGCAGAGTGCTGGGTTTATGTGATGTGCTGGGACCATGGGACCTTAGGATGTGTTGGGGCTGTGGGACGTGTTGGGGTTGTGGGAAGTGGCAGTCCTGATTGATCCTGTCCAGAACTTTTGCCCAATCGGTTCCTTTGAGTTTCTTTAATTCCTTCTTGGGACTGAAGTCTCATTGGCCTCTTACCAGAACAAAAAGATTTGGGGTCTGGGTTATCGAAGCAGCCATGGGATGAGAATGGTTTCCCTCTGACCACGCATTTCCTTTGCTTTTGTTTTGCAGAGGTAAAAGATGCAGAGCTGGGTAAGTCTCCTTCTCCAAAGAGAGAGAATTCAGGGTCTCCCTATGGCATCAGCCGTGGGATGAGCAGCTGTCCCCTCTGACCATGCACTGCTCTGCTCTTCCTTTTATAGTGGAACTAACAGCAATATTGGGTGAGTCTTCCTTTCCCATTTTATTGTTTTTAACAGTTCAGCCTCTGGGGGCAGTGGGATGAGATGTTCCTCTCATCTTGCATTGATTCTGCTTTTCCTTTGCAGAGCGAAGGGATGCAATGTTGGGTGAGTCTCCCACCTAAATCCAAGGAGATTTGGGGACTTCCCATGGGATCAGCCATGGGATGAGACCCCAAACTTTTTCATCACGCATTTCTTATTTGTTACTTTTGCAGAGAAACAAGTTGTAAAACTGGGTGAGTCCTCCCTCCCAAATTAAAAAACAAAAGCGATCCGCCTGTGTGAGCTGTGGGATGAGATGGTCCTCTCATCATGTGCTGCTTTTCTCTTCCTTTTCCAGAGGAAAAAACAGACGAAGTGGGTGAGTCTACATTCACTAACGCAAAGAAATACGGGTTTCCCATGGGATGACTAAGCTGTCCCGCCTCATCATGCGGTGCTTTTTCTTTCTCTTTCTTGCAGCGAATTGGAATTCTGTGCTGAGTAAGTTGCAGTCACAAAACCGAGGGAATTTGTGCTCTTCCCAAAGGACTGCGCAAGGGATGAAAAATCCCCTCTGACCATGCACTGCTTTTCTCTTTCTTTGCCAGAGAAAGACTGTGAAGAGATGGGTGAGTCTCTCCTCCCAGATTAAAATCACTGGGGTCTTCCTGTGTGAGCTGTGGGATGAGATGTTCCTCTCATCATGCACTGTTTCTGCTCTTCCTTTGCAGATTATAATGTCGCAGATCTGAGTAAGTCTCCCTCCCTACACAAAAGGAATTTGGGGTCTTCCCATGGGATCAACCGTGGGATGATCTTCTGACCCTTCTCATCATGCTTTTCTTATTTGTTACTTTGCAGAGAAACTAGCTACAAGACTGGGTGAGTCCTTCCTCCCAAATTAAAAAAAAAAAAAAGGGGCTTTCCCCGTGCTAGCTGTGAGATGAGATATTCTTCTCACTGTGTTGCTTTTCCCTTTCTTTTCCAGAGAAACACTGTGATGAGATGGGTGAGTCTCCCCAGCCAAATTAAAAATGCTGGGGTCTGTCTGTGTGAGCTGTGGGATGAGATGTTCCTCTCATCTTGCATTGTTTCTGCTTTTCCTCTGCAGGGACAAGGGATGCAAAGTTGGGTGAGTGTCTCTTCCCAAACCAAACCGATCTGGGGTCTTTCCATGGGATCAGCCATGGGATGAGAACCTGAACCTTCTCATCACGCATTTGTTATTTGTTTCTTCGGCAGAGAAACTAACTGCAAAAGTGGGTGAGTGCTCCCTCCCACATTAAATAAAAAATGAGGTCTGCCTGTGGGATGGATGAGATGTTTCTCTCATCATTCGGTTCTTTTCTCTTCCTTTTCCAGGGCAGCAAGCTAAAGAATTGGGTGAGTCCTCTTTCCCAAACCAGAGGAATACACTCTTTCCCATGGGATGACAAGCTGTCCCAGCTCATCATGCGGTGCTTTTTCTTTCTTTTCTGCAGAGAAACAGAATTCACAGTTCCGTAAGTTGCAACCACTGAACTGAAGGAATGTGGGGTCTTCCCAAGGGACTGCATATGGGATGAAAAATTCCCTCTGACCATGCACTGCTTTTCTCTTTCTATTCCAGAGAGACACTTTCAGAATATGCGTGAGTCTCCCCTCCCAAATTAAAAACATTGGGGTCTTCCTATGAGAGCTGTGGGATGAGATGTTCCTCTCATCACGCACTGTTTTTGCTTTTCCTTTGCAGATTTTATTGCTACAAAACAGAGTAAGTCTCTCTTCCTACACAGAAGGAACTTACAGTTTTCCTATGGGATCAGCCATGGGATGATCACCTGACCCTTCTCATCATGCATTTCTTATTTCTTCTTTTTCACAGGGAACTTGGTTACAAAATTGGGTGAGTCCAACCTCAGAAATTAAATAAAAAGAGGTGTGAGCTCTGTGCTGAGATGTTCCCCTCATCTGTGCTGCTTTCCTTTTACTTTTTCAGAGGAACACTGTGAACAGACAGGTGAGTCTCCCATCTCAAATTAAAACCATGGGGGTCTTCCAGTGGGAGCTCTGGGATGAGATGTTCCTCTCATCACGCATTGTTCCTACTTTTCCTTTACAGAGAGAAGGAATGCAAAGTTCAGTGAGTCTTCCTCCCCAACCAAAGGGATTTGGGGTTTCCCATGGGACCAGCCATGGGATGATAGCTTGAACCTTCTCATCATGCATTTCATATTTTTTTCTTTTGCAGAGTTACAAGCTGTAAAACTGGGTGAGTCCTCCCTCCCAAGTTAAATAAAAGGGGATCTTCCTGTGTGAGCTGTGGGATGAGATGCCCCTCTCATCATGCGCTGTTTTTCTCTTCCTTTTCCAGGGCAACCAGCTAAAGTCTCAGGTGAGTCCTCTTCCTTGTATCAAAGGAATATGGGCTTTCCCATGGGATGACAAGCTGTCCCACCTCATCATACGGTGCTTTTTCTTTCTTTTTTGTAGAGAATCGGAATTTAGAGCTGAGTAAGTTGCAGTCACTAAACTGAGGGAAATTGGGCTCCTTTCAAGGGACTGCCAATGGGATGAAAAATCCCCTCTGACCATTCACTGCTTTTCTCTTTCTTTGCCAGAGGAGATCGGAGAACAGATGGGTGAGTCTCCACTCGCAAATTAAAAACGCTGGGGTCTTCCTTAGTAAGTTGTGGGATGAGATGTTTCTCACATCATGCACTGCTTTTCTCTTATTTCCAGCACAACGAACTGAAGCAGCGGGTGAGTCTTTGTCCCCAAACTAAAGGAATATCGGGCAATCCATGGGATGACAAGCTGTCCCATCTCATCGTGCATTGCTTTTCTATTCCTTTTTTACAGTGGTAGATATTGAAGAACCAGGTGAGTCTTCCCCAGGCCAAAGCAATATGGGGATTCCTGTGGGATGACAAGCTGTCCCACCTCAGCATCCGTTCCTTTTACTTTCTTTTCCAGAAGAATCATCTGAAGAATCAGATTGAGAGATGAACTGCGCCTTGCAGTAACCACAGGAGTTAAGCTTCACAGACTGCTGACTGCACAAGAGACCAAAACCATGATAACTCCAAGCGAGCAAGGAAACCCACACTGAACGAAGTGGAGCCAGAGTTCGTTCTGAGTGAGAACACAACAGTTCTGTGAGCCAAATTTGCATGGGATACCACCAAACTCAGGATGTGTGACCTCCAACTCAAATCCAAT